ATGGGTAGGTGGCGGGGTGGTAGCTGCGATGATGATAGTGGTCAAGTGGCTGGGGCCTGGGAGTGGGTGGATATGAAAACAAAAATAGTGGCATGATGTTTAGTGGTGGGTTGGGATAATGTGGGGCGAGTGGTGGTTGTGACAGAGACAATAATGGTGTGGGGGTGGGTGTTAGGTTAGGGGTGGGGAGGTGGGGATGGGTGATAGTTGTGACGATGACAGTGGTGGGATGGTGGTCGAGTGGCTGGGAGTGGATAGACATGACAACGACAGTAGTGGCATGGTGGTTAGTGTTGGGTTGAAATAAGGTGGGGTGGGGGTGAGTGGCAGTTGTTACAACAAGATTAATGGTGTGGTGGTGGGGGTTAGGTTAGGGGTATGACAGTAAAGGTAGTAGCATGGTCGTAGGAGAGATGAGTTTGCTAAGCTTCTTGTGGATCAATGTCACCACTTTTCTCTGCATCATTTACTAAAACAGTGATCTCATCATTACCTATTCTAGCAAAACCGCCCATCAAAGCCATCGTTAACCATTGGTCGTTAAGGCGTATTCTCAAAATACCTATATCTATTGTTGGTGAGTGACTAGGGGGTGGCTGGGTGTGATGACAACAATAGTGGGATGGTGGTTAGTGGTGAGGTAGGGGGGATGGTGGTTAGTGGTGAGGTAGGGTGGGTGGGGGTGGCGACGACAGTAGTGGTGTGGTGGTGGATGGGGCATGAGGAACAATAGTAGCATGGTCGTGGTGGGTGGTGATGGAATTCAATTCCTTTAATTATGTCAATGAATGATGGATTCATTAACTTGTGGAATTCAATGAAATTTGAAGGATTCCATCCATTTCCAGAAATGAACCAATGAAATTTGGTCATAGGAATTTGTCATTCCAATTCCATAAAATTCCTTCGAATTTCGTGAACCAAACGGCCCCTAATGGTTTTATTTCTGGATGAAATCGATGTACAACTTAATACAAATTTTGAATGAAATCAATCCCAATTTTGTTTTACATCTAACTCATTCACTCATGATTCGATTTTGATTTCCTTCTTTGAATTATCTTCCCCTAATGGTTCGGTGAGCATGTAAACAATCTTCCCTAATTTCCCGCTGGCTATCTCAAAATACCAGAGATTCTCTGAAAATTTTATTCCCGATTTACCCCTAAGTTGGCTTAATTTTTAGAAATTAAATTGAAAAAATATTAAATATTTATTCCTTTCTAGTCGAAAAAGTCCTGACCATAGATGAAATAATTTATGGTTAAAATATGGTTGTATAGGTTGTAACAATCGAACAAGTTACATAATAAACCAATTATATATATAAATAAATAAATAAAAATATATATATATATATATATATATATAAATAAATATATATATATATATATATATATATATTCAAGTATAATAGCTACAGACAATAAACCTTCGGTCACATGTCAGCAAAGTGATAAAAAAGATGCAAGTAGTTAATTCATTTGAATTTGGAGGTTCTGTTTGTCAAAGGTATAAATTGTTGTTAGTTAGAGCACTTCCTATTGGAGGTAAATGAAAACCATTTTACTAATCTAAATATTTATTTAATAAATGATCTCCAACAACTGTTTATATAAAAAAATTCAAAATTGAGAGAAAAAAACTTAAAATCATAAAAAAAAAAAAGTTACATCTAATTCTAACAATTTTTTTCATTTCGAAATTTCAATAATAATTATATAATAGTTATAAAATAACTGAAAGATAAGAACAACAAAATGGAGAGAATGAATATGCAATTGTCATTAATCAAAATTCATTTAAATAGGGATGAATTATAAGTAGATAACTACGAGAGATATCAGTTTTAATCTATCTATATATATATATATATATCTATATCTTTATTGCCATATCCTTTATACGATGGTACATTTATCCTACAACAACTCCCCATTGTGTCGAGTCAAAAGAGTGATGATGCACAATTGTTGCCTCATTAAAATCTTATACCAAAATTAAAACCTAATGGGAAAAAATAAAAAAAAGGACAAACGGAGAAGTACGACGCACTAATTTCTTTGCAATATATAGACTTTTCCTTTAGTCTAATATTTTTTTTTTCCAGATTCGTACATTTATCATAAGAGTTGAAAAGGCAAGATGGTTTATGAACTGTTGCCTGACTAGAATCTTACACCAAGAAACAAAACCTAATGGAAAAAAAATAAAACATTTGAGTAAAGAAAAGAGTACAACATTATCATTATTACAGATATAGTAGACTCCCCCTTTTGCCTGCTTCTCCCCTGATTCTTGCATTTATCAAGAGAGTTTGGAAAACATTTTCATTTTAATACTTTCTACATGTCTCTCAAATATGGTTATAGGTAATAATTTGGTAAAGCAAATATGTCACATTCTCCTGACATATTACTTGATTCACTTGAATCTAGATGAGAGCTTGTTATTGTTGACTGTTTTGAAACTTAAACAGAATATGCTTTGTGTTATCACCCTTGATGTATCTTACTTTCATTTCTTCGATACATTATACTTATTTTTTTATATATACAGGTAGGATAGTGGTTGAACTCAAGCCACTAAATCCTCCATTATATGTAATTATAGTTCTTAACCATTTACACTCTTGAACAATCTCATGTAGTGTTCCCCATGGTAATTCTTTATCCATTTTGGGAATGACCTATGGGTTAGGAAGATACCTAATATCAGCAAAGACATATTGAGGCATTGTTTGGTGTTTTTCTATAAGGGTTGGTACATTGATTGCTCACATTCTTAGTAGGTGTTGGAGTTCCATTATCAATCTTATTTTTCTCTCTGTAGGGAAAGTATAAGCCCAAGTCAATGGTTCCAAAAGATTAATTTGATATTATTAACGTTGCATTGGTGCTGAGTTAAATCTAGCTAACAAGTTCATTGAGAAATACAATATACGGTCAAGTGTATTGTGCTAAGTACAATAATGTGCCTATTAAACTGAGATAGAGAATTCCAGCTCCTTACACCATTTTGTCATCATCCTTTAGATGAAACAGATCTTTCCTTATATCCAACACTTCGACCGATCATGGGAATGATAGTCAAATTCTTTTTATCCATATTAACTCGCCTGATCATTTTTGGACATATCCGGATCGGTGAATTAATATTCTACAAACTTGGTGTTTGAGCTCCAATAACTAGACAAAACCAAGTTTTCCCAAGTCATCTCAAATTCAGATTTCAAACAGGGCCGGCCCTGGGCCTAGGCCAAAGGGGCGACGACCCAGGGCATCAAAAGTGGAGAGGGCATCAAAATTTTTTAAGCTCAATATATGTATTAGGTTCAGTTTGGGCCAAAAAATTTTTATTACCGTTAGTCCATATCCATCATCGAATTCACGATTCATCCTCATTCCTCAATCGCTCTCGCCTCTCGCTCCCGCCCTCACTCTCGCTCCCGCCCTCGCTCTCGCTCTCGCCCTCGCTCGACGCTCTTGTTCTCGCTCTCGCTGACTCACTCTTGCTCGATGCTCTCTCTCTGCCTCACTCAGCCTCAGTCGCCGGTCGATCAAGCCCATCGCCCATCGCCCTCCCTGCTCTCTCTTGTGGTCTTGTGATTGTGAGTATTGAGCCATTGACATTGAGGTTAGGGATTTAACAATTAAGTCTTTTAAGTTTTAACCTAGGTTATTAATTTATTTACTTTATTTTTGAAAATTTTAAAGTTGTTTGATTGGGAAACCTAATAATGAAAGTATGAAACTTTAGTTTGTTTGTTTGGGAAACCTAATAATGAAACTTTCGAAGCTGTGATTGAGTGATTCTTTGATTATGGTTTGTTTCACTTGTTAAAAACTAATGAAACCATAAAATTAGAATTGTTTGATGGGAAACTGATTGTTTTGTTTCACTGTTTTAAAGTTGTTTGATTGGGAAACTGATTGTTTTTGTTTCACTGTTTTATAGAAGCTGTGATTCTTTGATTATGGTTGGTTGGGCTGTTTTACTGTTTTACAAATGACAACCATAAAATTAGAATTTAGAATTTTATTTGAGCCCTGATTGTTTTTGTTTCCTTGTTTTATGGATGCTTATGTTTAATGTTTTCTTATTTATCAATTTGTACAGGTTGCTTAATAGTTCCACTTTCTTGGCAATTTCATAACACAAACCACGAAGTACCAAATCCAGGTGTTATCTTTCTATTCTTTATCTCGTATATTTGTTTAGCAATTTAACTACTTAAGTTATGTTGCCTCGATCACAACCAAATCCAGGTGTTATCTTTCTATTCTTTATCTCGTATATTTGTTTAGCAATTTAACTACTTAAGTTATGTTGCCTCGATCACAACCATCGGGTGCTCAAAATAGGAAAAGAAAGAAAAGGCAAGAAGAAATTGCTCAATCTTTACAAGGATCTTTAAATAAGTTTATTGTTAGACAACAAAATGCTTCTGAAAATGCTAATGATAAAAATGAAAATGCGTGTGATGCAAATGAAAATGCTAATGATAAAAATGAAAATGTGTGTGATACAAATGTTTTTGATGCAAATGCTTGTGATGCAAATGCTTGTGATGCAAATGCTTGTGATACAAATGTTTGTGATGCAAATGAAAATGTTAGTGATGAAATTGTTTGTGCTTGTGATGATGCTTCTAGTGATATTCGTTTGAATATATTTGATCCAAGAATTTGGGATATGCTAAATTCTAAAATGAAAGATTTGCTTGTTGAAAAGGGGCCTATTAGGGAAACTAACATCAATTTCCCTAGAGATAATATAGGTAGACACTTTTCTGATGAATTTTATGTTCGTAAGTTACGTAATGGTGATTGTCATGATAGAAAGTGGTTAGTTTATTCAAAAGAGCTAGATAAAGTCTTTTGTTTTTGTTGCAAACTTTTCAAAGAAGGCCGGTCAAAAAGCCAATTAGCAAGTGTTGGATTAAGTGATTGGAAACATCTTGGTCAAGGATTAAGCACTCATGAAAATAGCATTAAGCATATGACTAGCTTAGGAATTTGGTCCGAATTGCGATTGAGATTGAGTAAAAATGAAACACTTGATAAAGAGCTACAAGATTTGATAAAAAAGGATACTGATCATTGGAAAGAAGTTTTGGTTAGAATWATTGCTGTTGTTAAATGTCTAGCAAAGAATAATATAGCTTTTCGTGGGAAAAATGAAAGAATTTTTGAAGAATCTAATGGTAACTTCTTAGGCGTAATTGAAATGATTGCCGAGTTTGATCCGGTTATGAAACAACACTTTCACCGTATCAAAGAAAAAGAAACTCATTATCATTATCTTAGCCACAAGATTCAAAATGAATTGATTGACATGTTGACATCTAATGTTAAGAGTGCAATCATTAAAAAGATCAAAGAGGCAAAATATTTTTCAGTTATTCTTGATTGTACTCCGGATGCAAGTCATCAAGAACAAATGACTTTGATTTTAAGATGTGTTGACGTGTCTAGCTCTCCTATACAAGTAGAAGAGTTCTTTTTAGAGTTTTTGGTGGTAGAAGATACATCTGGTTTAGGACTTTTTAATGTATTACAAGATGTTTTGAAATCACTTGATTTGGATATCAATTATGTGCGGGGACAAGGATATGACAATGGCTCTAATATGACAGGGAAACATCAAGGTGTGCAAAAAAGATTACTTGATATAAATCCTAGAGCCTTTTATATGCCATGTGGTTGTCATAGTCTTAATTTAGTTTTATGTGATATGGCAAATTCTTGTCACAAAGCAAAAACCTTTTTTGGTACTTGTCAAGCCATATACAATGTCTTTTCTAATTCTACAAAGAGATGGACTGTTTTATTAGAATATATTGATGATTTGACTTTGAAATCTTTATCTACTACTCGATGGGAAAGTCATATTGAAAGTGTTAAAGCTATCAAAACTCAAGTTGGCCAAATTAGAGATGTTTTAGTACAATTGGCTCAAGTAAGTAAGGATGGAAGAGTGTGTAGGGAAGCCGAGTCTTTGGTTAATGGTGAGCTTTCAAGTTTTGAGTTTATTGTAAGTTTGGTTATTTGGCATGAAATTCTGTATAGAATTAATTTAGTGAGCAAGAAGTTACAGTCTAAAGATATGCTTCTTGATGTTGCAATACAAAATCTAAAAGGATTAGTTGAATATTTTGAAAAATATAGGGAAAGTGGGTTTACATGTGCCATTTGTGAAGCTAAAGAGATTGCAAGTAATATTGGAATTGAACCTGAGTTTGCTGTAAAACGTTTTTTCTCAAGGAAAAAACAATTTGATGAAATTCCAAATACGGAGAGAGAACACCAATCCGCTCAAGAGACATTTAGAACTGATTATTTTCTTGTTTTAGTTGATATGGCTCTTTTGCAGTTACGAACCAGATTTGAACAAATGCAAGAATTTGAATCTATGTTTGGCTTCTTGTTTGATGGGCGAAATTTGGTTACTTTACATGATGACGAGTTAAAAAAATGTTGTTTGAACCTTGAACTTGCTTTAACAAATGGTAATGATTCTGATATTGGTGGTGAATATTTGTTTATGGAGTTACAAGCTTTGCAGGGAATGCTACCAGAAGAGGCATCTAAAAGTGGAAATCCTTGGACATCGATACAAATTATGGAGTTCGCAAAGAAAATGGACATGTTTCCACATGTCTTGCTTGCTTACAGGATACTATTGACCGTACCGGTGACCGTAGCATCTACGGAAAGAAGCTTTTCAAAGTTAAAGTTGTTGAAGTCGTATTTGCGGTCTACCATGAGTCAAGAAAGATTGAACGGGCTAGCAATCTTGAGTATTGAGAGTAAGTTTTTAGCTAATATTAGTTATGACGAAGTGATAGATATTTTTGCTTCAAAAAACGCAAGAAGGCATCGTTTTAGGTGAATGATGATGTACTTTATCTTTTGTTACACGGGGTTTTGGTTTATGTCCCCCCGTGATGCACTTTATCTTTTGTTACACGGGGTTTGGTTTATGTCCCCCCCGTTGCATCATTTTTGTTATATTTAAGGGGCACTTTTTTGTTAGAATTGACTAGTTTATTTTGGTTTTTATTTACACGTATAAGGGGCATTATTTTTACTTTCCGCCGTGGGCATCCAAAATCTCAGGGTCGGCCCTGATTTCAAATAGATTATTGTTTCTCTTATTTCATCAAGAGTGCCTATTATGTTCATAACATCGGCATATGGAGCTACAAATGAAAATATGAAACTCGTTTTCTTTATAAACACGCAATGGCATAGTTCATCGTTCTTATCTATTCCTAGTCAAATATTCACTTAGTCTGGTGTACCATATTTGCCTAGATTGCTTTAATCTATAAATCGAGCGTTTTATTTTATTGCAAACACACTATGTGGTTTAAAGTTACTTGATTTGAGTATTTTATATACACACGGGGGATAAAAAATATATTGATCCTAATACATATGCAATAATCATCAAATCCTTATGATGTAAATTCTCCAACATTCCAAGTCATGTAGACTTGATAGATAACCAGAATGGTGAGCCCTTAAATGTATACATAGTGCTAGGAGTGCAATATCATGTGGACAATAATATGACATGCATCCATCATGCCAAAACCAGAACCATAATGTACTTTGATAACATGCATTATGGATGTTTATATCCATAAATATCACATTGTATTCGTTGTAAGAATAAAATATTTTTGTATTATGACCTTAGTTTTAGGATGGTTTCATTCATGTCTTGGCTAAGCATCAGGGTATACAAAAGTTTTGGGTATTCTAGAGGGCATATTATGATGATGATGTTGCTTCTTGTGTTAATTACCTCATTTTGCCTTTCACTCGAAAGAGAATGTGTCTGTGTATTTTGCAATACACGGATCATTATGTCATGACCATGGTGTCTCACGTGGTCATGTCGAAACATATATGTGTCATTGTCCCAAATATATGTTTCTTTAATACCATATATTTGATGTACATATATCCATTTTCATTCTTATAATATGATTTCCAATTGATACGGAAATTTTAACAAGGTTCCTATTAATATAATGCTCTAGTGAATATTAATCTTGTAGTAATAAAAAATGAGAGTTCATCATCTAAGTATTATGGTGGGAGGAATTATAAAATAAATATTAGTTTATATTTTAAGATTGTGTGGGAGGTCCCACAAAAACACCCAAGTTCTCGTCGATACATTCCTACAATGAACATAGAATATTGGGAGTTCTATCTTTGCTTTCATGTATTTATTTACATTTATATTGGTTATATATTTGGGTTTACATCAAAAAATAAAATTAATTTAATACTTGAAAATAAATTTCAAAATAAACCTATGCTTAATCAATCTTAAATTAATATGATATAGTTCATTTTCAACTTTTCTTTTTTTGATATGAGCGATTATTAGTACATTTATTCTTTTATTGTTCATTATCTTATGGGCAGTAATTACATCTCTCCTCTAAAGATTGGAAAATCCTTTTGACTCTTGCCATGACTCTAACCCTTTCTGTGGACTCATCCTTGTGGTGTATATTTGTCAAATGAGTGAAATTGTCGTTAACCCACTATCCTTCGGAGTTATTTCCATCTCTAATGTTTGCATTATTGACCCTAGGAATTTTCTTTGTCCTAGGATGTCTAGCATTATTGTTCGAAAAAACCTTGTCATGTCTCTCAACCACTTGTAGTAGATCGATGAGTTTGTTCTAAAAGTTATATTTGAGTTTATACTCGTTCATTAGTATGTGAAAGATAGAAAAAATGTTAAGAATCACGTCCTCTTCTGGGAGTTCCATGCCTTAGAGATTGAGACGCATTTTGCGACGTGATATTTCTTTGTTGAAATTAATTACATTCTTGTAATCGAGTGGGTTTTATTCCACTGTATGATTAGTTTGAAATGTATATGGTAATAAATTAGTTACCTTCTTGCGAATTGAGAATTTGGTATGTAAACCTCTCAACCTTGTTACATATATATAGTGTTTAGAGGCAAAAAAAATACACAAAAAAAGGGTAAAAAACAACTAATTAATGGCTATATTTAAAAACAATGTCTTTTTGAATATTTTAGGCCGGTCCATAACCGCTCTCGGTCCTACAAATCCGACAAAAACCATAACCGGTCCCGATTCCGGTCCTCCGACGGTCCTGGACCGGACCGGACCGGACCGGTTTGACCATCACTATTCTAGGGTGACAGTAACAGTTTATAATTGATTAGTTTATAATATATTTTAGGTAACGATTGATATGTGATTGAATTTTGTTATTTTTTATCTTTACCCCATATTCATAAACAAATCATTTTTCAATTAATTGTGATATATCAAATCATTCACTTATTTTGTAATGAATGACGAATTCATATTTTGTCATAGAAATTGTCACCAAAAAGTAATATGTTTTATATTTTTTGTGTTTTATCATACATTCCTAATTGTTATTCATGCATTAAGTTTGGTTTTAGATATGAATAGTTGAAACAATATATCATATGTTGTTTTAATTCACAGTGAATCTGCATATATAAAATGCGCACATCTCATTCCATATTTGATTAGGGATGTCTAATTTCAAAGATGGCCTTTCTTTTATTCAATTCTAACAATCATGCCCTTAATTGTATACACAATTACAATATTGGCACCGTTTTTAATGACAACCATTGATCATATATATATATATATATATATATATATATATATCTAGTCGTAAATGATTTGTATTGGTTGTAACCTTGTACATGTTTGTATTTAAAGGAGCATATATATATATATATATGTATGTATATAAGAAGTCATTCAAGGGAGAACTGGTTAGTTTGTGATAACTGTGAGATCTAATCTCAACCACAAATTAATCGTTAAACTAGGAAACCAATAGTTTTGTTAATTTGACTTAAAATTTTAATCAAATGGCATTTTAGGTATTTTAAAAATCTTATATATCCTCTCTCTTCTCTCATCTCTTCGGCAAACCTTATTCTAGCAAACACAAGGTGCACACTGTAATACACTTTCATATAAAGAAAAAACACAGTGTGATACACTTAGTAAAGCAATATTACCTGATATATTGTGTTACACTTTGTAAAACAACAAAATTATATTGTGATACACTTCCTATAACGATAAAAATATATTGTGATACACACTATGATAGCAGATCTAGTTGATGAATACAACTGCAATATCACTATGCTACCATTGTGTTACCACTGTATTACACTCGATGTTTCATCATTTATTAAAATATCCCCCTTTTATACTTACTAACATTAGTATTTTGTATTCTTATATTAAATAGAAATAATCCGTCAATTTCARAGTTTATTTATAATCATCTTTTTCTTARRAATTTATYTATTTYATTTTCATAATAACAAAAGAAATCGGTATTTTTTTTTTYAATTTACAAATCTTTCYAGATTTAYTAATATTATAGTTGTGATATTTTTCATATTTTGAGTATATTATTTTGTTTCATTTGTAAAATTCATGAATAAGTTAATTTCCTTACAAATTTTATTAATGAAATCATATTATCCAGTTTTTCAAAATGTTTCATTCATGAAACTAATTTCATTTTGGTTAAAAACCATGAAACTAATTTCACTAATGAAATCATATTATTCAGTTTTCAAAATCTTTCATTGACTGAACCACATTTAGTTTCATTAAATAAAACCAATTTCATTTTGCTTAGGAACCATGAAACCAATTTTACTAATGAAATCATGTTATTCAGTTTTCAAAATGTTACATTGACTGAATCATATTTAGTTTCATTAAGAAAACCAATTTCGGTTTGTTAGGAACCATGAAACCCATTACACTAATGATATCAGGTTATCCAATTTTCAAAGTGTTTCGTTAACTGAACCATCTTCAGTTTCATTCATGAAACCAATTCATTAATACAACAAGATTGTTTAGGAACTATCACGAAACATAATACATAATACTGATGAAACCAAAAATATAAAATACAAAAACCCAAATCTCCATACAATCTTGTTTAACTTACAAAACACCCAATTCACTCATGAATCAAAAGTCAAAAAAATTATACATGAATACTTGTATTTACGGTAATAGTGGAAAAAGATTATCTTCTTCATATTCATGTAGGTTAAATTGATATTATAACCTCAAGAGATCAACTTTTGGATGATCCATGTTAATTAACTAAAACCTTACCAAAAATATATCTCCCTTAATATTAGCCGTAGATAAAATAAATGGATGGGTATGATTTGATTTGAATGTAATGGTAAATTCGTTTAGTAATATGTTGTTTGAAATCTTGTTGTTTTCGAACCCAGTAGTTTGATAGAATTGGCTTTTTTGTCACATGTGATAAAATGCCTAGAACACATTGTATGTTGTTTAATGCTTGATGATGTTGATTTGTTTTCAATTTAATGTAATAGTAACTTTGTTTAGTAATATTTCATTTGAAATCTTATGGTTGTCGAACCCAATAATTTGATACTTAGAACTGGACTTTTTATCAAATGTGATAAAATACCTAGAACAACATTGTATGTTTGTTTAATATTTGATGATGTTGATTTATTTTCAATTTAACTGGAATTTTTATGATATGTCGAATAATTTCATGTGCTTTATTTACTTAGTGGTCTAATTCATTACAAGTGAATTTTTATCATGTAATAATCTTCATAACTTTAGTTTTTTACTTTGTTATGCTTATTTAGTGTTGGTTGTTAGTTCTTGTGGATGAGTTCATTTATACAAATTTGTATCGGACTCTTTTAATTTGGTTTATATAAATTTTAATT